TATATATACAACCATTATTTTAAATTTTTTGGATTGTGTGTTTAAACCAAACATAAAACATTGACCACGTTGCAATGTGGATGGTGTTTTAATTGTGGAAAGAATAGAAAAGAATACAGATATAATAAATATTATTTATTACTATAATATTATTTATTTATGTTGCTGTAATATCCAAATTAGATTTTTTAAAATTTATTATTATTATTTTAGTTTAAATGGTTTGGGTTTATTTTTTTTTTTTGGGTTTATTTTTTATATTTTATATTTTTTATTTTTTATTTTTTATTTTTTATTTTTTATTTTTTATTTTTTATTTTTTATTTTTTTTACCTTTTTTATTTTATGATTAAGAAAAAAATTATATATATTTATATTTAATGTAATGGTAAATATGAAAATTAATAAATAAACGACAAAATAAAAAAGAAAAAAAAAAAAAATAATAGAACAAAATTAAAAAAAAAAATAAAAAAAAATATATTATATATTGCGAATTTTTTATTTTTTAAAAAAAATTTTATTATAATTGCAGGCATCATGTTTCGCTCCAATGATTCTTCTCTTGTAAATTGCATCTTCGTTTTAGAGTTATCAAAAAAAAAAAAATAATAAAAAAAAAAATAAAAAATTTAATTTAATTTAATTAAATTAAATTAAAAATTAAACAAAAAGAATTATTTAATTTTTTAATTTAATTGTTTTTAATTTAATTTTAATTTTTATTTTAAATTAATTTATAGATTTTTGGTTTAAATTAAAATTATAGCAAATAAAGAAAAAAACAAATTTTAATAATCAAATAATTCTTTGGATATCATAATTTTAGATTATTCATCATATGGTTTTTCATATGCAAAATAACTCAAAAATTTTTTGGTAACCCCAAAAATTTTGAATCTATCAAGTGTAATATATTAAAAATAAATAAAGATATTTTTAACTTCGCTAAACTTAGATTATATGAAAATTAAAAGAGGGTGTATTTATTTCACCCCCAATTTATTTTCGTTTTTTTTTTTTTTTTTTTTTTTTTTTTAAATTTTTAATTAATTTTTTTTTTTAAAAAAAAATTCAGTTGTTTTTATTTAAAATAATAATGATAAAATTAAATAATAGTAATAATAATAATGTTAGATTATTTAGTTTAATTCGTAATTATAATAATAATAATAATAACAATACTAGAACCTATTATAAATCTTCATTGGTCTCATTAAAAAAAAATAATAATTATAACCCAACCAACAACCAAAATAATGATCATATAAATAAACCATCAGTTTCAAAAGAAGATTCTTTATATCAGATATTTCAAAAATATGAGTTCAATAATAAAGATTTACCAAATCAAAGTATATGGTTACCTTTTTTAAAAACACAATATTATGACTTTAATCCATACCCATCAGATACATTAAAAATGTCACAAACTCAGATTGCAACTATTAATTCTTTATCAAAATTTAAAGATTTATTAAAAAAAGAATTAAGATCATTAAATAAAAACAATAATGATACCACAACAACAACAAATAATAATAGTAATAATAACAAAAATAATAAAAATATTAAAGTCAATAGTAATACTACAGCTCCAAATAATACTAATGAAATATTTACAGTTGAAAAATCATTATTTTTTTTAGAAAACAACAATAGTAACAACAACAACGACAATAATAATAATATTAAAATTAAATCATCAGAAGATTTTTTAAATTCAAATTTTAATAAAGAGTTTTTAAATTATTTAAATATAAATTTCGAAAATGATGAAAAATTTAATAATTCAATGATATGGACTCAACAAATTTTACCAAATAGTTTCAAGATCAAAAGGTTACCAGTTAGTTCTAGCAATATGGATATAGCAAAAGAATGTTTTAATTATTTATACCCAATTTTATCATATCTTCATTATTACTATGGTGATCAATTTTATTACTCAATTCAAGCATTTAATAATACTAAAGAGGATCCATTAAATCAAGACAACGAAACAGAAAAAGAATTTAGAAATAAAATTAAAAGAGTTAAAAAGTCATTAGAGATATTGTTAGAGTCAACAAGAAAGAGATTGTGGGGTCGTTCAATAGCAGTACCAGAGAATCAAACAATAGGTATTGCATTCAATAATATCAATAATTTAAATGGTTTGGATTTTTTAAAAGATAAAGAGAAGGCATTTTTTATTGTACAGATACTATTTAGTGAGGGTAATAGCAATGATATTTATGTATCAGTGGCTAGAACTACCTATAAAGATGGTAGAGGTTGGTCCTTCCCACTTCCATTTAATCAGGGTGTTGTCCCCATCGAGCGTGATCAAATACCACCAAGTAGAGCTTATAAAAAATTAATAGAATCATTCGAAACATTGGGTACCACTCCATCACCATCATCAACAGTTGTAGAGTTGGGCGCTGCCCCAGGAGGTTGGACTTCAATTTTAGAAAGACTTTATAGCCAAGAAAACGAAAAATTAAAAATCTATACCATTGACAGATCAAAGTTAGACTCTCAATTTAAAACCAGCACATCTATCACCCATACTTATGGTGACGGCACCAAATTTACACCATCAAACATTGGCGGATTGGGCAACAATACAAGAGTTGATTGGTTATTCAACGACATGGCAATTCCAGCAAGCAAGAGTTTAGAAGTATTGGAAAAATGGATTAAAAATAAAAACACAACCTATTTCGTTTGGGCAATTAAATTTGATGCTATTGAAGAGGCTTCAACCATGGCTAATGACTGTCACGAGCTTATGAAAAGATACAATATATCCTCATACAGAATTAAACACATGGTGTATCAAGGAAATGAAATTATGTTAATGGGAAAAATCGAATGATAAATAAATATTTTAATAAAGTTTTATAACATATTTTTTTTTTTTTTCTAAAAATTATAAAGTCTATAAATAGGTTTTTATTTATTTTTATTGTTACAAATACATTTCTAAATAAATTTATTAATTCATTAGATTATTACTAATGAATTAATAAATTAATTTTGTAGTTGGGGGGGTGTGTGGTTTAGTTTAATAATGATTCAAAGTGTTTGCTTGAACCAGTTTCAAGAACACGAATGACTGGAGTGTATTGATTTCTGTTATTGTCCTTTAAGTATTGAGTGGCATAGCTGAAGGCAAGTTTCTTTTCATTGGTTGAGGCTTTGCTGCCGATCCAAGCATAGATTTCACTACCTAAATCAACGATGAAAGCATCTTCGGATTTCAAAGCAGATTTTGGAGCACTACCTTTGGCAACTTGGGTGAAGGCAACTTTACCAGTAGCATCAGAGAGTTTGTAAACAGCTTTTTCGTATTTTGGAGCAGCAACTGAAGCGGCTTTTGCTGCAATTGGACCTTTGCCGCCGAGAGTATTCCAAAATTCGGCTGGGATATCACCTTCTTCAAAGACTTCAACTTTTGGTAAACCTTTTCTTTCACCATCGATGGCACGAGCAATTTCAGCAGCTTTAATTTTTTCTTGACCACTTGATTTGCTACCATTTAATTGATATAAGGTTAAACCACAATCTAAGATGAAACAATCGCCTTGATTGAGTGATTTGTAGTTGATATCAACTTCTTCAACTTTAACACTACGGTCACCTGAAATGTGTAATAAACGTGGTTTGTATTCGGTTGGTTTGACATGATTAAAGCCAGATTCTACACCACCTCTTAAAATAAAGTATTGTGGGAATAATGAGAGGAAACGAGAGCTTTCGAAACCTTGAACTTCACGATATTCAACTGGGCCACCACCTAAGAATTCATCTAATTCGACGGTCTTGTAAGCAGCAGTACCAGCTTCATCGGTAGTTGTGAATTGACCTAAGAAGAAATGAATATCGTGTTTATAACTATTTCCTTCTTTAAAAGTGTGTAAGATAATATAACCTATTAAAATTTAAAAAAAATAAAATAAAAAAAAAAAATGAAAAATGAAAAATGGAAAATGAAAAATGAAAAATGAACAATGAAAATTAATTAATAAAAAATTTTAAAAAAATATAAAAATTATCAAAAAACAAATAAATTACTTACTGTCACCATCGTAGAATTTACCATAGGTTTCTTTTGGGACTGGGACAACTTTAAAGTTTTCAATTCTCCAAATAGTTAAACCTTCTTTTTGACCAACACCGTGCCATTGTTTTTCGGTTTGGGCGGCATCTAATTTAACCTTGTGATCTAATGCGGTGCCAATTAAAGCTACATTGGTATCTTCAAGATTTAATTTTCTGTTTTTAATCATTTTATCTGTTTAATTATATTATTTGTATGAAAGTTGGTTAATGATTTTTAAAAAATAAATTAATTTAATTTATAATTTTTAAAAAAATAATTTTTTTTTTTTTAAAATAATTATTTTTTTTTCAAAAAAAAAGATATTTAAATAAACTTTTTTTTTTTTTATTATAATAATTGTTTTAGCGCACCAATTGGTGTTTTTGAGATTCGCAGAAAAAAACACCCGATTTCATTTTGTAAAAGTATTATTTTTTTGAATAACTGCTGTCTCTCAATTCACAAAGATTCTCTGTTATCATTTCTTTGATACCTTCAATTCAATAATTTTTTTTTTTTTTAATTTTATTTTTTTTTATAGTAACCCAATTTTAATTTTTATAACTGTTAAAAAAAATGATAATTAAAATAATATGTTTTTTTTAATAATTATTTTTTTTTATTTTATAAATTTTAAATTCTGCAAAATTATTTAGATTTAAAATTAAGATAATCATTCATTTTAATAAAAATTATAATGGTTATAAAAAAAAAAAAAAAATTTTGAAAAATTCTTTTTAAATTTTATACATTTTTATCAACTAAATACAATAAAATTATTTTATAAATAAATTTTTTAAAAAACTAATTAGTTTAACATTCACTTTATTTTTTATTTTTTTTTTTTATTTTTTTTTTTTTTTATTGGTAATATCAATTAGATAAAATTGATTCTTCATTTATCTATATTTATCTTTCTTTTGATCTTTTTCTTTTTGTTTATATATTACTTCTTTTATTTGGTTCTCTTTTTTTACATATTTTTCTAATTCTTTTGATAATTTTGCAATTTCAATATCTTTTTCTTTTAACTTTTTATCTAAAGGCATCATAAGTTTTTCTTTAAATTCTGAAATCATAATATCGAGATCGGCTTGCAACTCAGCATTAGTTTCTTGGTCATCATTTTCATAATCACTAGCATCACTTTCATCAGAACTATCACCACGATTAACAACAAAATAAGAGAATCTTTTTTTGTCCTTTGTTGATGGAGAGTATTTTGAGTTATCTTCTTTTCTTACATTGATTTTTTCATCCCCATTATAAGATATAAATTTATATCTTTCACCAGTTTCATTATCTACAACATAATCAGGACGAATGTTTTTATTTCTTCCCTTAAGCGAGCCATCAAAATTTATTTGAATAAAGTTTTCTTCCCTATTTTTATATTAAATTTTAAAAAATTAATATTAAAAAAAAGTTTAAAATACTTAAAAAATAATTACATTTAATAAAAATTTGTATAAAAAAAGTTAGAGTATGTTAATTTTGTATGTTTATATTACAAAAAAAAAAAAAGTTTTTATATTTTTATTTACCATATAATGAAATTAATTTTAAGTTTTTTAATTTTAAGTTAATCTTGTTTGAAATAAGATTAAGTTTTTTAATTTTAAGTTAATCTTTTTTTTTTTCAAATAAGATTAACTGATTGAATTGTTCCAAGATGCAGCCAATAAAATTATAAATAGAACTTGAGTCTGTGTCATTAAAAATATGCAATTGGGGGTTACATCAAAAAAGAAAAAAAAAAAAAATTTATATTTGTTTTAATACCCACACAAAAAAAATATTATACTATTATTAGGTTTAACAGATTGAAAAACTTAAACATATAGTGCTAAAATATTATACTATTATTAGGTTTTTTTAAAAAAAAAAAAAAAAAAAAAAGAAATTATATTTCTGTAAGGAAAAAAAGAGATAATAAATTATTTATTTAGAATTTTTATTTTTGCCTTTGCCCTTGCCTCTTCCTTTACTTTTACCCTTGCTACTGGATGATGTTGATTCCATACTGGTATCATTCATGTCGAAGCTATCTTCGTTGTTGAGGCTTGTATCCAAACTATTGTTTAAACTATTATTAGATTTGTCTGCATTGTCTCTTTCTAAACTATTTTTCTCTTTTGATTCTGAATCAAAGTTTATATTTCTATTTGTATTTTTATTTTTTTTATCATCTATATTATTATCAATTTTATCAATACTATTATCTGTACTATTAATAGTATTGTTATTGTTATTATTGTCTATATTATTATTATCTATAATATTATTATCTATATTATTATCTATATTATTATTATTATTATTATTATTATTATTATTGTTATTATTATTATTATTGCCATCTATATTATTATTTTTTGTTAAACCATTATTGTGGCCGTTGTTTTCACTTTTAGAATTAAAAAATTTGCATGCAATACAACGGAATTCTATATAAAAAAAAATTAGTATGATTTTAAAGCAATTTGTTATTAAGTAAATAAAACTTACGAATGCTTGGGATCTCTTCACGAGGGACATAACCATTATTGGTTCCACAATTTTCACAAATTAATGGTGATCCATGAGTTGGACCATCTGAAACTAAAAAATCAATTAATTTGTCAAACCACCATTCTTAAGTAATAAAAATAAAAAGTTAATATTATATTAATAACTAGTTTTAAAATTTTAAAACTACTTACTATCTTTAGGGTTTTGTGGAGTTGCTCTAATTTGTGATGTTGATTGAACTCTATGATGTGGTTGTTGTGTATAGTGTGGTTGTAATTGTTGAGCCCTTGGATTTAACATTTGTTGCTGTTGCTGTTGTTGTAATTGAAGTTGTGGTTGTTGTTGTGGTTGTTGTTGTTGTGGGTGAGATGGAGGTGAGTATTGTGCTCTTTGGTATTGTTGTTGTGGATTCTGTTGTTGAGCCCTAGAGTTTCTATTTGTATTGTTTGCTAAAATATTGCTTTTACCATTTAAAGTTGGTAAAATTGTATTACTATTTGAATTGTTGCTATTATTATTATTATTTTCTAAAAAAAAAAAAAAAATATTTAGATACTGCATCACTGTAATAATAATTATAACTATTATCTGATACCTACTTTTTTTCTTTATTATATTTTCGTACTTATCTAAAAGTTTTTTTGTATTCTCAAAATCGGTTTCACGCTTTCTGTCATCCAATTTTTTTTCTAAACCTACTTTTAATTTTTCTAATTTGTTTTCGTAGTTCTTTATCGAATATTGAAATACGAAACCATATGATTTTGTTAATGTTAAAATTCTAAAATGATATAATATAGAATGTTAATACCAATATTAAATAAAAAATAGTATATACATTAAAAATGATCAACTTACAAAATAGGGAATAATAAAGAATATAAATAACACATAGATTTTTCTGAAAATGTGTTTGATGAACGGGATTTGACATAAGAAAATAATACTATAAAAAACTCTACAATGAAACTATAGATAACAATTTTTCTAATAATATCTTTGTGGAATGCTTTGGAGCTGTTAATTTTAGTTTCCATGTTTAAAATTTTGGACTCCATATCTAAAAGTTGTTTTTCGAATGTGTCATTCTGAATATAAATAAAACTATACTTAATATTTATTTCTTTTGCTTTTAATGTATGCTATATAAGAGATACTTACTTTTTTTGAGAAAAAATTACCCATTTTTATAAATTTCTATATATAATATTATTATTTATATATTATGTTTAAATATAGTTATAATGGTATTTATTTTCTTTGACTAGAATACTAACTGATCTCTAATTTTATTTTTATTATTATTGTAACTTTATATTTATTATTAAATACTATTATAATATTGATAAAAAAAAGCTGTATAAAATAAAAATATAATTTAAAAAAAAAAATAAAAAAAAAAGAAAATTTTTATTTAAATTTTTTTTTAAAATTATTTTAATTATTATTTTTGTTTTTATAATTTTAAAAAAAATATTTTATTTTTTGTAGTTAATTACTTATCCAATTATTAAGTTTGATATTTTTTATATTTTATTTATTATTTATGTAAAACAAAAGAGATTAAAAAAATAAAAAATAAAAAATAAAAAATTGTGAAGTGCTTCAAAAAAATTAATTGATAAAAAAAAAAAAAAAAAATTTTATAAAAAAATAAAAATTAAAAAAATAAAAAAAAAATAAAAATAAAATAAATGATTTATAGTTTCTTTTTTTATTTTTTTTTATTTGATTTTTTTTTATTTTTATTTAATTAATTATTTAATAAACTAATTATTGTAACCATTGGCCTTTAAGGCATCAGACATTGCAGAAATTAATAATTTTACATTACTTGGATTAGCATTGAAACCCATTAAACCAACTCTCCAGACTTTACCAGCAAAAGCACCAATACCACCGGCAATTTCAATGTTAAAGTTGTCTAAGAGGTATTTCATGACCATTTTACCATCAACACCTTCTGGGATGGTAACGGTTGTTAAAGAGAAAAGACGACCACCTTTTTCTGAACTTTCATTGAGTTCATTAACGAATGGCTTAAGACCTAATGATTCTAAACCTTGATATAATTGAATAGCAGCAGCTTGATGACGGGCCCAAACGTTATCAAGACCCTCTTCGACCAAGAGAATGAGTGATTCACGGAGAGCATAGATAAGATTGGCTGGGGTTGTGTGATGATATTTTCTCATTGGTGGTGGATCAGATTTGACTACTTTTCCATCAGCAAAGTTATACTCTGGACACCAATATTGACCTAATAATAATGTATCTAAATACCAATTGGCAACTGGTGTTTTTCTAGTAGCAATTTTTTTACAAGCGGCATCTGAAAAAGTTAATGGACTGATACCTGGTGGACCACTTAAACATTTTTGACCACCGGTATAACATGCATCTACTTTCCATTGGTCAACAAAGAATGGAACACCACCCAAAGCAGCTACACAATCAACCATTAATAAACAATTATATTTGTGACATAATTCACCAACACCTTCCATTTGTTGTTTGACACCTGTACTGGTTTCACCGAATACTAATGTTAATAAACTTGGTTTATGGGTTTGTAATGCACTTTCGATCTCTTCTAAACTGAACCAACTTCCCCATTGCTTGTCAACTTTTAATATATTTGCACCATATCTAACAGCCATTTGATAAATTCTATCAGAGAAGAAACCTGAAACTAAACAAACAACTTTATCGTTTGGTTCTATTAAATTTGAAACACAAGTTTCCATAGCAGCTCTTTAATAAAATAAAACATTATTAGCATTTTTATTTTCATATTATTTTTATTTTTTTATTTTTTATTTTTTTTACTTACGTTCCAGCACCTGAAATTGGGATTGTGAAATGGTTGTCAGTTTGGAAGAGATATCTCATTAATTCCATAGTTTCATCCATAACAGTATAGTAATTTGCATCAGTGTAACCAATCATGCTACTTGTAAGTTGTTGATTAACTCTTGGATGTAAATTTGATGGACCTGGACCTAATAATAATCTAACAGGTAATTGCATTGTGCATGTTTTAATTTTGTGTTTATCTGAATAGCTCATTTTATTACTATTGCTATTATTATTTATTATTGCTTGTATCTAAAGAAATTTGAAAAAATAGAAAATATGAAAAAAAATATCTGTTTGGGAATTTATAAAGTTTTTTTAATTAACAAAAAAAAAAAAAAATTATTTTTAATTAAGAAAAAAAAATAAAAAATTAAAAAATAAAAAATTTAAAAAAAAAAATGAAATTTTGAAATTATAATAATAAGAGTAAATTAGATTATTATTATAACAGTATGCAATAATAATAATATGATGTAAATAAAAATAAAATATATAATTAAATTAATTATGAATATTTTGTATAACATATATGATTATTCATGTTACATTTATTATAATGCTATTTATTATAATATTTAAATTTATGTGCGATATAACAACCATATTAGTTTTATTGTTCCATGCAATATTATAACAAAACTCAGGTCTCAATAATATAATTGCGAAATGCAATGGTATATGTAAATTATTTTAAACATCTATATTATTGTATGTAGGTCCTATTAAATATATGTTTTCTTTTAATAAGAATAAAATCATAAATAACACCCACTCTCAATAACTATTTTTAAAATATATTCCATATTGAAAAAAAAAAAAACAATAAAAATAAATATTTATATATAAATATAGTTAATTTGGGGAGTTTTTTTTTTTTTTTTTTTTTTTTTATAAATTTTATTTTTTTTTAATTTTTTTATAATTAAAAAATTTTGTTATTTTTTTTATTAATATATCAATAATATATTATATTTAAGTTATTTGTTTTTTTTTATTTAAAAAGTAATTACTATTTGATACAAATTAATTTAGTATGTCATTATTTAAAATATTATTAATAAAATCATATTTTTAATATAATAATGATAAATTAAAAAATTTAAAATTTTTTTTTATTTTTTTTTTTTTTTTTCAAAATTAATATATATTAATTTTTTTATTTTTTTATTTTTTTTTTCATTATTTAGATAATAAATTAATTTAATATCAAAAGATGGCAGAAAGTAAACCAAAATTAACAAATGCAGGATCATCAGCATCATTACACAGTATGTATAAGAATGTAGATTTATTCAGTGAAAATGATGAAGAACTTTATCCACCATTAGGCCACGGCGCAAGATTTGCTGCACCACTTGAGGACAGTCAATTACAAGCCATTGGTATGAAAGCTGATGAAATCAAAGCATTCCAACAACAAAGACATCAATATATCAATAAAGATAAAATCTACACTGATGAAATTAAAATTCCAAATAGATCCGATATGGCTGATTATCACCAACTCCATGTTCTTTCACCAGTCGATCAATCTAATGCCTCAAGATTATTAAGCAAACTTGTTGTAATTAAATTAAATGGTGGCTTGGGTAATAGTATGGGTTGCAAATCTGCCAAAGGTTTAATTGAAGTTGCCACAGGTACTTCTTTTTTGGATATGGCTGTTGCTCACATTGAAGTAAGTAGATTAGAATTGATAGCACTGTATAAAACTCAACTTTTCTAACTCATTTCTTTTTAGCAAATTAATCAAGACTATGGCGTTGATGTACCATTGGTAATTTTAAATTCATTCAAAACAAATAATGAAACAATTAAAGTAATTGAAAAATATAAGACCCATAAAGTTACAATTAAAACTTTCCAACAATCAGTATTCCCAAAAATGTACAAAGATACATTAAACCTTGTACCAAAACCAAATACTCCATTTAATCCAAAAGAATGGTATCCACCAGGTAGTGGTGATGTTTTCAGATCACTTCAAAGATCTGGTCTTTTGGATGAATTTTTAGCTCAAGGTAAAGAATATATGTACATTTCAAATATTGAAAATTTAGGTTCAATCATTGATATACGTAAGTAATTAATTAAAATTACAATAAGAATGACAACAACACATCAACTAATATAAATTTCTAATAAACTATTATAATAGAGGTATTAAATCATATTCATCTTCAAAAAATTGAATTTGGTGTTGAAGTTACAAATCGTATTAATACCGATGCAACTGGTGGTATTTTAATGTCCTACAAAGATAGACTCCATCTTTTAGAGTTATCACAAGTTAAAGCAGAAAAATTAAAGATCTTTAAAGATTTTAAATATTGGAATACAAATAATATTTGGGTTAATCTTAAATCAGTTTCAACTTTAATTAAAGAAGATAAATTAGTTTTAGATTGGATTGTTAACTACCCAGTAAATATACACAATAATAATAATAATAACTTTAATATTGTAGTCATATATTAATTAAATTTACTTTTAAAAACTAGATGGAAAATCATAAAGCTTTAGTACAACTTGAAACTCCAGCAGGTATGGGAATTCAAAACTTTAAGAACTCTGTTGCTATTTTTGTACCACGTGATAGATATCGTCCAATTAAATCAACCTCACAATTATTACTTGCCCAATCAAACATTTTCCAATTTGATCATGGTCAAGTTAAGTTAAATCCAAAACGTGAAGGTCAAGATGTACCATTAATTAAACTCGGTGAAGAATTTTCAAGTGTTTCAGAGTATGAAAAAAGATTCAAATCAATTCCAGATCTTTTAGAGTTGGACCATTTAACAGTTTCTGGTGATGTTTACTTTGGCTCAAATGTCACACTTAAAGGAACCGTTATCATTGTCGCCAATCATGGTGAGAGAATTGATATTCCAGACGGTGTTACTTTGGAAAACAAGGTATTATCTGGCACACTTAGAATTTTAGACCATTAAAAATAATAATAATAAAGAAAAAAAAAATTGTGTTAATCTAAAATAAAATTATTAAGTATTATTAAATTAATTGTTTATAAAATAAAATATTTATTTAAATAAAACCACATAATTTAAATGTAAATTTATTGTTTATTTTTAGATTTTTTTAGATTTTTATTTTTTAAGACCAATTTAGTTTAGCTGATAATTCATTCACAAACGAATCGCAATCACCTAAATAAACATAGTCAAACTCGTGGGGTTGTGCTACAATTTCCCTATTTACAAGAATTTGTGGTACATTTTTATCTAAAATATCTGGAAGCAAGGCTACTGGTTGAACCTGTAAAGAGCTACCCATTACCACTAATAGGTCTACTTTTTTAATATCTTGAACTACACATTGATCAAAACGGTCTGGTAAACTTTCCCCAAAAAATACGATATCAGGCTTCATGAAAGAACTGCCATCTGAACACTTTTTACAATATGGAATTTCCATTTTCATAATATACTCTCGGATATCATCGGCTGGGACATTATAATTGCATGTAATACAAGTTGCTGATTTAAAACTACCATGGCAATTCACCAAATGCTCTTGATCAATACCTGCAACATGCTCCAATGTGTCTATATTTTGTGTATAATTTCTTAATAACTTTCCCTCAACTTCTAATTTCTTTATAAAATGATGGGTTGGTGATGGACGGTGGGATCCTGGCCATATCTCTTTTGCAAATTCGAAAAATGCTCGTGGGTTGCTCTTTAGATAGTGAATATCAAATAATGATTCTGGTTGGGGTAAACTATATTTTTTTTCAATTGTTTCATATACACCACCTTTAGAACGGAAATCTGGAATACCACAACTTACACTGACACCTGCACCTGTAATTATTACTATATTTTTACTATTTTGAAACAATTCAATAACTTTGTCGAATGTGTCTAATTGTAAATCTGCAATTTTCTTTCTGTAAGGCTTGACCAATGAATTGTATTTTAAATAATTTAAAAATAAATTTACTGCAACTTTTTTTCTTGTTAAAAATGCAGTGATAATTTCCCATGCATCATCCTCTTCCTCTAAAACAAGTTTGAAACCAATTTCCTTAGTGAATTCCATTGGAGCTATACCCGATCCTTTTTTTTCGTTAATATATTTATACATAAAGCTACGAGCTACTAATTCTATATTCTCCTCATCCTCTTCTTCATTATTCTCTTCTCTTTCCCCATCTTGTTCTAATGATTGTGTTGTCTCTTGGTTTAAAACTTCGGTAGTTGTAAAACTTGAGGTTGATGTGGTATTGGCAGTAGTATTGGTAGTAGTAGTTGAGTTTGTTGATGATGCTGTGGTTGTGGTAGTTGTTGACAATGATAATGAGGTGGTTATATCATTTTGTTGCTTTTGAATTTTTTTAATTTCGTTGATATTATCTAAATGGTCATAATCATCTAAAATATCACTGCCACTTTCTGAAGGTTCATAGTCACCATCTGATGTATCTTCGTCTTCATCTGAATAACCATCCCCCACAAATTCGTATTTCCTGCCCTGTCTATCCAATTTATTTATAAGCTTTGGATCAATTTCGACATCTAACTCTTCATCTGAATCTATATTTTCTAATTCTTCCAGGCAATTCACTGTTTTTCTTTATTTGAATAATAAAAAAAATAAAAAAATAAAAAAATAAAAAATAAAAGTTTTGTGAATTTAGATATTTTAAAATGATTAGTAATTGGTAAAGAATGAAAAATATTATTTATTAATTTTTTAAAAAAAATTTTTTTTTTTTAATTTTTTTTCCTTTTTTTTCCTCTGTTTCTTTTTTTTTTTTTTTTTTCGTAGCCAAGTCCCATAGCAATTTTTTTTTTTTTTTTTTTAACACTTACAATTTTTTTGGTGTATTTTCATTT